CTAAATGATTTCGTTAAGACAAGGCAAAACCGAGATGGCTCGTTAAAAGAACAGAGACTTGGAGAAACGTCAAAGAACAAAAGCGAGTGACATTATCCGCGACGAATGGGGGCTAGAGTCGTCAGAGCCAGGCCAGGATTAATTCTTTCCGAGCGAGGTTCAGGACGCCGGGATGGATTGCTCGGAAAGACAGAAGGGTTGGAAGAAAGACTATGGATTCTGCGGCACTGGGCTAGCTGGAGAAAAAGTAGGGCGAAAGGGCGAGGGACAGACCGGGCGAATCGGTTATCATCCCAAGGGTTGCGAGCTTCGTCCCGGGATCCCACCGTCGCTTTTTCTTTCTTTCCTCTCTCCCATTTTTTTTTTCTTCTCTATCTCCACCTATCCTTCTCTCCCAACCTTATCCTCGCCCTATTTGTCCCTATGACCTGGATTCGCGACAATGCGGAATTATTCTACGCAATTTTGATCGCTTTTGTCCCGATTTGAAGATCCTTACCACGACTTGACATATATTGAATTGTAGTAAGCGAAAAGATTAACTTACAAGTATTCAAAGGTACTCGCGAGTATACTCGCAAAGTTGTTAAAAATTAGTTGAAGTTGTTGTGAGCAAACGTATTTAAACAATCAAGTTAAAGAAACAATTTTATGAAATAGGGTAAAATACATATTTCATTTTATCATGTTTACGCATTCCTGTCAATGTAATATTATCGATACACTCTATATGATCGCTAAAGGGACAGAGTGGACAGAGTAATATTCGCAATGCGTTGAGGTTATCGATTTTAAAGTTGAGTTGATTGCCACAGAGTATTGCGATATAATAATACAGATGGGCCATTCAACCATGGACACACGTTACCAAAAGCTATTGCGCCGCTAAATTGATAGTGTACATGATACAATGGAAAACAATAATTTATTCGCAACTTGATAGATAACGCACTTGTATACCACTTTGTTTCTTTCGACCTTTCTGTGTTATCGCAAAGCGCATTAACATCGTTTGACAAAAATGTGAAATTTTTTTCATATTTATAGTTTAGGCAATTACAGCATTACTTTGTATATAAAGCGAAGTAATTGCGACATACATCTCGTATCCGCTATTTAATGACACGTATTTACGCGCCTGTTAAAAAATCGTCTACACTTTCAGCGAATTGCGTGATCTCGAACATTTCTCTCAGTTGCGTACATTCGCGTGGAATCGGCGAACGCACGATTAAACTCGCAAAATGATCGCGAACGGAGGTAAAAGCATTCGCCGTTAAAGCGCGAACGCGAGACCGCTGATTAACGTTTATTCCAATATTTTTCTTGCCGTTCCTCCCACCCTTCGTGCCCCCCACCATTCATTGAAGGGGTAGAAACGCGGTGAAAACGCGGGACTGATTATGACATTTACGAATACATCGCAATAATGTGGAACGATAATGCCCGATGGTCATAAAAGACACGCTGACTATTGTCCTTGTTTTTCTTTGTCCTTTTTTCATTCTTTATGGAATTGCGCTTCGTCATTAAACGCGCGCCTTTTATTACGAACTTTGCGTACCCCGCTCGTCATTTGCGTTACACAATAATTTTGATTTGTTTGGGAATGAAATTTTTATTTCACAATCACGAGCCAATCGTTGTAATAAAGTATAAAGGCCCTGCACTTTGCGCTACAATAGTAGATAATACGCTTTTATTTTTTATTTTATTTGTGCAATTTTCACAGTTTTTCAAAACAAATTGCAATACCGTTAGCAAAGAGCGCAATATTTAAATTAATATAAAATAACTTACGTCATTATGAACTCATATTAAACTACAGAGCGTTTTAATATATATTATAGATGAATATTAAATTTCCGTAAATAGAGTGGTAGCTTCTACATCTTCCTTTCTCCTTTCTCCGGGACGATTTCATTTTCGTAGATGCGAAAGCGTTAAAGGCGAGCCAGAAATATGTACGCGGTCATATTGGGTGAGAAAAGCACGAGTTTGGTAAAGAGGAATGAGGCGGCCCTCTCTCCCCACCTCCTCTCCCTCAAGCGATGAAACTATAAAGCCACTCCTAGTAAGTTGTAAAATTGTAATAGCTTTCCGGTATTTACATAATGCTACGGCGTAATAAGTGGAACTCGGTGAGTTTCCATTACCATTCTGCCGCTATCCGCTCTTATCTCCGCTAACGACCCGAGGGGCCTCGCTCGCCTCCTTGTTTCTTTCGTGACTTATATTTTTCCACCTTATTCTTCGCCGGGTTAACCGCGGCGAGAAGCGATCCAAACCCCAAACCTCATCTTTTGTTCGTGTCGCGTCTTCACGACGAAAATTCGACCACTTATTTCGTTAGTTGGTTTTCTCCTCTCTGCCTCAAGTCCTTTAAACGCGCGGATTTTATTTTGATCATAATAAGAGATATGGTAGTTGACAAACCAAGCATCTTCTCAGCCTATATTCTATGGCTTAAAAAATGAAGTTTTATTGTTCTTTTTTACATTTTACACGAAAAATAAATTTGCGTTTATGACACTCGTATACAAATGAAACTTTTGAGATTTTTCTTGTGAATTGATTTAATGTAATATTTTACTAAGCAGTAAAAACACAATTTATACAAAAAAGTTATTTTTTGGTATAGATGTTATACTTAATCTTATATATTCCATTTTTTCTCATGTTCCATTTTCATCTCTGAACAAAAGCTTTTTGTCACGAGCATCGCTATGGGAAACGCGGCAAAAGTCTCTCTAGTTTGCACGATAATGTGCTCATTCGCGATCGGCAATAGCAAAATGTAAAAAGATTTCAGACTGAAATTCTCGTTTATCGATGGAGAACATGAAAGAAGTTGAGTTCCCGCTTTCGACACTCAAGGGAAGGAGTGGAAGCTGCAGCGGCTTCATTCGAATAAGTGGCCTCCTTAGTTTAGATTCGCCTTCTTCTATTGTTTCCTTCCTCCTCACCTTATCCATCCATGATATCATCCTTCTTTATCCCCGAGTGTGTCTCTTTCTCTTTGTTATTTTCTTACGATGAACTTCTCGCCGACGAAACCGGGGCGAGTCGTTTATTTAATTTTCGAGATCCCCTGCCATTTTATTTTTATCTCCGAGACTTTATACACTTCGCTGATTAACCCACCTCGCGAGAAACCTTACCTCCCCCATTCCCCTTCAATGGAGAACGTCGAAACGAAGAACGTGCGCTGCGCGTTTGCATGGGGTTGAAGAAGAGTTAGGGACGCGAAGAAAGAGAGGGAGTCGAATTCAGGAGCGTAGGTCGATGGAAGGACTCGCGGGGCTAGCGTTACTCACCGGATATAGAGATGTCTAAGCCCAGCCATCACTGAAATTGCCAGAGTTTACCTCTTCCGCCCTTTTCGCCGCATACCCTCCCTCCTCCACCACTTCTTCTATCCCGATCGAGCTTTCGTTTTCTCAGCATGGAGTTTCCGCCCGTAAAATATTCGACTCCTGCCTTTCATTCTCTCCAGCTTGCCCGCCCGTGGCTTTATTACAATGCGATTGTATTATCAAGATTTCAAGACTAAAAGTATCGGTTTTTCTCCGACATCTTTCTTTCAGCTCCTTCAAGCTCTTCATATTAATCTACCTTGTCGAAGTGGCTGATTTTACGAGGAAATCGATAAGTCTTCTTTATCAAATTACTTTGCAGTGTTTATCCGACTAGTAACGATTGCATTATTCGACTGTTACTGTCATTATTATCCGAATTTAAATGCTATTAAATCGTATTTTTATTTTTATTTATTATAAATAATTGTAAAATACAACTGTATAAACTTATTTTAATTCATTCAAAAATAAGGGATGAGAGTTTTTGTTATATATTTCCTGAAATTAAATTAGATTTTTTAACATGTTTTGTGGTTTTTCATCTTTATTCCATCGATTAAATGATTTTTAATTACTAAGGAAATTTTTTTGCGATTTCCATTTCTATAATTCATCTCGATTACATGATTATACCATACTGAGATATCCGAAAGACTTGATATAGTTCCCGATGTCTGGGCAATGTCTGGATAACATCCGCTATCTACAGAAGACGCGAGAGGAATATCGGAGATCGGAGAGACGTCGAGTTTATCTAGTATTCGTATGTAGCCGCATCCGATACAAGATCCGATGTCGCGCTTCGGATTCGCCATGAACAATCCTAAGAAACGATGCTGTGCTGCTTGTTCCGACGTCGCTCTACTTCTTTGCGTTCCTTTCAGTTCGCCGATACGCACATTCGCGACGTATCTACAACGAATGCGCACCCAATATCATTTCTTACAATTTCGACCGTGACCTTTTATCGCGTCATTCTAAGATTCCATTCTTTAAAGCATTATCTGGTAACATTCTTTGGCAACAGTTGTCCTTTTTTCATTTTTCCGCTTCTTTTTTTACGGATATTTCACTTGGAACAAGAAATCGTGTACGTTTTATTTTCGGAGGTGTTTTTTAAATTTCATAGAAAATCAAATATTGCGCGAGTGTTTTCTCCGTGTTTACGTATTGATACGTTATTGAAGTAAGTTTGGTTATTAATAATGCACCTGCGTATCGATTATTTACAACTTCCCGTCGATAACCCAGGTAGATATGGCAATATGAAAGGCTAGAAGTAACGGCAAAAAAGCCACCAATAGAGTCTACCTGGAAATGTCGTAGCACATCCAGACACAAATCATATTCATATTTAATCAATTTTTTATCAATTTTGCTGGCACAGTCGTATACTGGAAACTTTATTTCCTTTTTTTCGAACATTATTAGTCGTTTCGCTTCTCATGTTTTTATTATGTCTGTAAAAAAAGACGGGGAGAAGTCATATTTTAGTTAATATTATTTTAATTAGTAAAACATTTTTTTTTTTAACTAATAAAATATTTATTTTAAGAATGTTTTTTTTTTTTTTAAAAGGTATTTATATTTTGTTCTAATTGAAAGTCTTGAATTTAATATTTGTTTTTTCCTTTTTTATAGATGGTGACAAGGACAAAGAAGATATTCGTCGGGGGATTATCGGCGCCGACGACGCTGGAGGACGTCAAAAACTACTTCGAACAATTCGGTCCGGTGAGTAAATATCAATATCAAATTTACAACATTATTACGTTGGTCTGCATAGCAGAGCTAAAACTGTCCAATTCGACGGACTTTATTTTAACAAAATCTTACAAATGTTGCGCGCAAATTCAGAAAAAGAGATAATCGATTTTTTGATTATTAATATATTTGGTGATTTCTATTTTTTTAAATAGACGTCATATTTATAATTAATAATGTAGGATTAAGATTTTATTACAAAAAAAAATTTTAGATACTTTTTTATAAAATTTTATATCATTTTGAATTTTTATAAAATTGACAAGTATTATGCAACGTATTGCTACATTGCTATTCGCTGGAATCATGAACGCGATATCATTGACTATCATTTCAGTTGGTTACATTATCGATGTATCGCACATCCTCACCATTTCCTCTCGCGTCGCAAAATCGGGCGGCACTGTCGACGACTGTGATTCATGGGATTTACATTGTTTAGTACTTTTGCATATTTTATTGGCTATTTCGCGCGGAACGCTATTGATTTTTGGACGAACAAGTGCACTCATTTCCATTTACACGACGTCAACGGTGCGCGACGACAATTCTGCCTCGCTGTAGCTCCCATGAATTTTGATCGTTATGGCACATAACGGTGATATCGAGGTATCGCTCTATTTGGATTGTTTCAAAATGCGCAACATAATACAATATTATTCACGTGCGAATGATCTCATTTAATCTAGCGGCCTAACTTGTTCATGGATTACAGAGAATTAACTTTAACGTTATCAGAAAATTGTATATGTTTTGCTTTTTTACATTTAAATTGTTTTTCATGAGAAGATTATTTCGAAACGTTATATTTGTCGAAACGGTTAGAGAAATTTAAAAATAAAAATTATTTTTGGTCAAAAATAATTGATTCGCGCGAGAGAGATATTTATCGAGTAATCAAAACTGTCGTAAGTTTTGATACACTTTATATAAACTGATTTTCTTTGATAATCAATGTCAAAATCTGAGATTTCGGATAATGAACGAAAACGATTTTCAGTATAATTATAAGCAATTTGTCCCGTAAAATTATAATATTGAGCAATAATTTAATTTATTTTAATAGTTAAGAGCATTCACTTATCACAAGATCTACTTAAGAAGGAATGCTACTGAAAGGAAACTGCGAGGTTTGCATTAAACAGCAGATCGAGTGATTAGGCACTACTAGTTGGGGGAAAAAGTTTAGCTAATTAGCGTCTATCGATCCTCGGAATATCTTTAGAATACATCATTGTGCGGACTTATTCGGTTATTCATCGAGTTCGATCGCGATCGAATTGAACGCACGCGCGATCTTCAATCCAATTCCAATTCCAGCACGATTGCTCTAAATGGCTTTCCACGAGCCAGTAATAATAAACGATTCTAATGGGCAGAGTGGAATAATTATTATGCGGAAAGTTTTCGGCTATCTCGTTTCCGTTTTGGAACGATATCATAAAATTAGTAGAATTGTTAAAGTTAAAGCGTCCTGGTTGAGTATTATTATTATTTAACATTTACGAGAGCATTATTTTTGGGATGAAGGAGCCGTAAATGTATATATGTGTTTATATGTGTATCAATTATTTTATTTATATTCCTCCAACATTATCATTATGATTTTTAATAAATGTATACATTTATATTTTATAAAATATTAATGGCAATCTTCAAAATTACTTTTCTTTTCTACCTAAATGATTTTTGACGTCTCTAATAGTAATCAAATCAGGAGTCTGAGAATAACAAATACGATAGTTATTTCATCATTTTTTTAAAAAAGTATATTCGAATCGCATGTGACGAACATATTTTAGAATCGACACGTATCGATCTGTAACCTAATTCTTAGGTCACAATAAAAAGTCACGTATATCATGCATGAAAATCGCGATAGCGTCCTTCCGTTATGGTGAATCAGATTCCTTGTCATGGTCAGACATGCATACCGTGCATCGGAACGGTTAGAGCTCCCGGCTGCAGCGGATCGCTCGGAAGAACCGACGCCGCTTATCATCGACGGGCGGGAATCGAGATACGGAGAGAATTCGGCAGCGCCGAACGGCCGCATAATAAGGCACTCCCCGGCAGTCGTCCGTTGCAGATGCACAGCCGGCGGATATAGAAATTTATTGGAAAACTTGGTCGATTGCAGCCGCGGCGGAGGATATATGCCCGGCTCTCAGGTGACACGATGTAGTTTCGAAGGGTCGAGGATAGTAGTGGAATATGACCGGAGGACGTTCGAAAGGGGGGGAAGAAAAGGAAGAAGCGAGGAAAGTTGGGGCGAGCGCGACGTTTGTCGTGGCACGAGCCAGAAATGGACTCGAGATATCAGAGAGTCTGCCGTTATCTTCGGCCTAACCCTCTCCCTTATCCCCCTCTCCCCCCCCATCTATCTCTTTCTTTCTCCCTTACATACTCCCGTTCTCCGCCGAAAGTCCGGCTTTGAATGCAGAGTTTCCGGCTCGTAGCGGCTCGACTTCGTCTATATGTGTGTGACCCACATCGGAGATACGATCGGACGTGCGCGCGCGCGCGCGCGCGCTGGCGAACGTATACGACGCCATTTCGGAATTCGACTCCTACGTATGATGACATACACACGCATGCATAAACATACATACACACACACACACACACATACACACACATGAGTATACACAAGTTCGTGTCTACGCCCACGTACTACTAACGGCGAGCATACACGATCGGCGCTCTGTATTCACACCAGACGACTAACGGGTTGAATAAAAGTGAAGGGCGGAAATTTGGAGCCATGCCATTTGTAAAGTAATCAGAATCTGTTTTCTTATGTACGTACAGCTGGCTATTTTACGGCTATTTTACTACAGGCTTTATATTTTTATTTGATACTTACACCTTCGAGTTGGTAACATATTTGACACGCATATGTCCGCGTAATATATGACGCTATTAACCGCGTAAAAGAGCTTCTGTTTTTGGTACGATTACCAATAATATTTTAATACAAGATAAGATATTAACGTTCTGATGTGCTTCGTGCAATCGTAAATGTCTGTTACAAGATAACTCATGTTTGGAATGTAAAGGTACAAGTGCAAGAGGCGAATCCTGCCGTAAATTTCTATCGCTCGCTGGTCTTTGCGGCTCACTCAGTCCGATGTTCCATCTCGCTGATACGTATCTGATCCCACTTTTGCTCCACGGAAACAGGGAGGGAAAAAGGGAGCGTGCAAGTGGGAGATCTCTGTCGACGAAATAGCTAGACGAGGTAGCTGATAAAGCTAATGGCATTGCCGGGAAATGCGTTATACTCATTGCGTTCCGGCTTATGAAACTTTTCAGGAACGACCATTTCGTTCTCACAAACATTTGTACGCATTCATGGCCGAAGGATTCGGACATATTTCCTGCATACATTTAATTCCTGTTTAAATAACGCGCTAGTCGAATATTTTAATTTCGTTTTACATATTTCATGAGTTGAGTATGCGTGAATTTTCGTGATTCCAATGAAGCGGTTTAAATTTAATTAGATTATATTCAAAAGAGAGAGCGTTTTGTCCAAAGATAAATACGCCATTTTATTCTATCGATTATTTATTTTAAAAAGAGGAAAATAATCTCTTTAATCTTTTTTTTTTTTTTTTGGTAAAGCTTTTGTGAGCTTTACAAAGCTCACAAAAGCTTTACAAAGTCATCGTAAGGAATTTTTGGAGCATTAAGTGACGTAGACTTAAACGTAGTAGAGTAACGATTTCAAAACATAGTCTTGATGCTTTTAGAATAACTCAGACGTTCTGCGAGAGAAGATTGTTTGACAGTTTGCTTTCACTGTTTCAATCTTGGCTTTCAATCTGACATCTTCAACACACATAATTATGTGAGATTTGTTTAACCAAAAAATAAAAGTTTCTACACACACTATTATAGACGCGATTACGCATACCAAGGCACTTTAGTAAATATCTAGTTACATAGCAGGGACTTCCTGCTGTCATTAAAATTTACGAAGAATCGAGTGTAATAGTTAGCGTGTGAATGGAAATCTCGTTTCGATATACATAGGTCGCGGACTCTGCCGTACCTTCCCTCCGTCCCTCTCTTTGGGACGGTCGTATATCGCAGACCGCCGCCAGCACGCGATTTAAAACTTAGATGAGGCCGTCCGGCGACGTTACCTGAAAAATGAATGGATCTCCGAAGAGAGCGAGAGCTTAATTGCGCTCGCTCTCAGACCCTTTCCTCTTTTTCCTTTCCGGCCCTGCCTCCTTCGACAGTCGAAGAGCCGGAAACGAGGATGGATGAAGCGGTAGGAAGATAAGGGAGAGGAACGATGGTTGTCGATGGAAGGGCGGACCTCTTTGACGCTGTACTTAACGATCGACTTGAAATTAAGAAATTAAGAATTAATACAAATCTTGGAGAACCGGTCGGTTCGTCTTTTTTCGCCGGTCGCGCTGCATTTGATTCTCACATCGGGGGACGAATTTTCCACGGGAACGGTCGTTCATTGATCCGCCGCGATGAAGTTTGCTCGTTCAGATATCGAAGAGTGCTCGGTAATCACTGCGCTCTTGTGATCGCGAGTGACAGCTTTGAGGGCCTTGATGATTGTTCTATTTCGAAAGCGCAAAACAACGAGTTTTTGCACAGTCATTTGTTACTAATTTTGTTGCCAAAATTTTACGGAGTTGTAGACCTAAGGCTTATGCGAACTAAAAAGCCATCCCTTTTCTTGCATACCTTTATAATAAAATCAAACAATAATTATCTAAATAATAATTTCTTGAAGACAGGACAATGAAGGTATAAGCGTTACATGTATAATAAAAGGGATATTTGCTTTCCTCATTAATGCATACGTTTCAGAAGCTAAAAATTGTATTTTTAATGATAGCAAGAGAACTTTGAGATTGTATCTTCAAACCGATCAATATTATTTTAAAGTGCCCTCGATGTAAGAACAATATTCTGTGGTCGTTTGTGTTTTTTTTTGC